TTTAGTTGTCGGAACGGGAAACTTTATGTTATATTTGTGCAATTTAGCTCTTAATTTTCCCAATATTACTGAAGCCTTGAACTTAGATTGGCTTAGTTTTTATGGTTTACGGGATCCAGTCGGGATTTGCTTTATAACGTCTTAAGATCTTAGATAATTTAGTCTAAAGCATTATTGATATGAACTTGGGCAATACGTTAAAGAGCCTGCTGTTAATAGAATAAGTACAACGAAATACTAATATTCTAACATTTGAGCAAGGGGAGTTTCTAACATTAATTTGCAGATCGATCAAACATATATTTCTACTTTGCATGAATGTTGCATAATATATAAACATAAATCGTTGAAGGTAGCTAGCTGCAATATTGCGTATCAGATGCAACGATAACCCAGTCTTAATTAGCATACAAATTGTTCTTTTTTTAACAAAAATAAATTAATAATAGGGTCTTCTGAGTAAAAATGTCGGCTGTTTATTAGTAGTTAGAATTCTAAAAAGATTTGTGTTTCCTAATTTGAGCAGCACTATGTTAGGGCACGGGAGTTTAAATTCTAAGGTTAATGCTTAACTTCTAAGCAAACAATCCTATTGATCCCCGGATTAGGAGATGAATTATTTGGAAATTGCTGTATTTGGGCTTATAAATATGAAGCCTTAATTTGGAAAGGTGTTTATTAGATAGATAGAGAGAGAGAGAGAGAGAGAGAGAGAGAGAGAGAGAGAGAGAGAGATCGAGTCACAGAGAGAGAGAGAGAGAGGCGATCAGGGATTGAGTTATTCTTGCGTTGTGTTTCAACACCGACAATGGCGGCAATGCTGCCGGCTGCTCATGATATTCAAGGAGGAGGAGGTGGAGGAGGAGGAGAGCAGCCAGATTTCGAAGTGGGCTTCCGGTTCCGTCCAACGGAAGTCGAGCTCATCGACTTCTACCTTCGAAGGAGGACGCAAGGAGATTTCAGCATACCCGAGAGTTTCATACGGGAACTCGACATCTACGAGCATCGGCCGTGGCACCTCCCGCATCACCTCTTCCCGTACTGCAACACGGAGGAGAAGGAGATGTACTTTTTCACTAGGAGACGTCGTGCAAGCAGCAACGGCTCCAAGAGGTTTAGCCGAACCGTCGATGAAGGGGGTCTGTGGGATGGTCACGCCGCGGGCAAGGCCATCCACAAAGCTGGGAATGGCGGGGAGAAGATCGAGATTGGGCACAGGGCGCAGTTGGCGTTCAAGTTGTTTGATGATAAGAAGAGTAAGAAGAGCACCCTCTGGATCTTGCACGAGTATCGTCTTGTTGATGACAAGGCTGATGACGTGGTGCTCTGCAGAATCCATAAGAGGAAGGGAAAGGACGAGGACGAGGAGGAGGTGGCGCCAGTGTTTATTAATACACAACAGACGGCCGACGAACAAACTTCGTTGCCAGCAGCACAGCCTTTGGTGGAAGCTGATGCGGTTGCCGCTGCTGATGTTGATGATGATGATCTCTCACTTGTGCGGTTACTGGAGGAAGAACTGGTGGAGGTGGAGGTGGAGGAGCAAAGACGAGTGAAGAGGCAGAGAATAGGAGGAGGAGGAGGAGGAGGAGCTCACCAAATTCCAATGAATCAGGGACTGTTGCGGTCTCCAATGGATAAAAGATGTGCCAAGAGGCAGAGGATAGAACAAGAAGAAGCCCATCAGGCCTCCGCTGTTGATGCTGATGACGGGCTAACAATGACGTTAGACGAAATCAATACAATCTTGGACGAGCTTCCTTCAAATACCTCGCAGCAGCAACCAGCAGACCCTGTGGACGTAGAGCAACTTTTGAAATGCCTCGAAGTTGAACCCTCAACGTCGTTCGACGGCTTGTCCTTTTGTCTAGACGGCCACATACTACAAGAAACTCCGTCGCCAGCGGAGGGGGAAAGAAGTGTGAAGGGGGGAGAGGAAATCATGTCAGCCATGCAGGACTGCTTGAACATGCCATTGCCCGCTTATGCTGTCGGTGATGAGTACTGTTACGATTTACTAGCACTGGGCATCTGTTAGAACTTAGTGTTTTAGAGCTCAAGATTAGTTTGTAATGTATAGCATACATTGATTAAATTGCTATTTTTCCCAAGACAATTCAGGCTGCAATCTTATTTAGTTTAGTTTTACTGAAACTGATTCCATCGTCATTTCTTTCTGCTGCTCTGATTAACCTTCTCAGCGATTTCTGATGTTATTTTGAGTTTGTTGGGCAACTACGAGATTGGGTCTTGTGTGATTTGATTCTTGTGTGATTTGATCCAAATCGCTGGCTAGATCGCACTGCCTCAAATAAGAGCAAACAGAAGAGTCGGACATTCGATAAATATGAACTTGAAATTATCTGCTGATGCGCGAGGGCTGGTATTAACAAACCCCATCAGCTTCACTTTGTTTCCTGCTATGCTTTTCTGTAAGGAGTTAGTACACACTGTCACTTAGTTTGAGCATTACATATCAGTTCCTATCCTGCATGCAACAGTATCAACTCACTTCGAAATTTCACGAGAAAAATGGTTACGTTTAATATTCTACCACCGAGTAACAGGACGGAATCTACTTATTGTCAATATAATCCCCTTTCTGAAAGCCCTCAGAAACTATTCAATGATCAATAACCCAGCTGGTCACCAGTAATTCACTAATGATGACATCAGAAAATGTGAGAGGAAAACAAATTCCAGAGATAAATATATCACACGCCACAAAAAATCTTGCCACCGCTTCTCTTAAATAAACAAATCTGGACAAACACTATGATAAGCTTTACAACTGAAGGGAAGCATAATAGTTGTAGTAGCCATGAACAACCCAGCAGGTCAGATTGGGGATAAGAAAAAGGTGATCCCCAGATGCAGCCGGAATATAGCTTACTGAAATCTGAGCAAAATAACTCTCATTAGCTTTTCTCCTGTTACAAACCGTGGACCTATCTCCTACGCGTTTCTAAAAGCCCTACAGGATTTTTGTCACCTCGTCGGGGGTTCAGAGGCCTGGCTGCTAACTGAAGGATTGGAGGAGATGGAGGGGAGAGCTCCTCCTCCATTCTCCTGAGGCGGCGGGGCTCCCACATCAGCATCTTAAACACATATTAATCCCCCACGTGCAACGCACGTGATGAGTTTTCGCCGGAAAAGTGGCCGCCGACGAGAAAAAGGACCTAAATGGTACTTTTATTCAATTAAAATGTCTTATCGCCGAATTTCCTAATTAAAATACCTTGTTGGGAAATGGGGTTGAATTAAAATACCAATATGGGTATTTAGCCATTTCACAAGTGTGCACGTGCACAGTTAGGAAGTTGTTTTTCTGTTATTTCCTGTTAGTGATTCAACCGTGTGCACGTGCACAATCTGTTTAGAAGAAGAGAATGGTATAAATAGTCAACTGTAATAATTGATATTCAAGTTGTTGAATAATACAAAAAATCTCTCAGTTCTATACAATTTCTTCATTCTACAGTCTCTCTCTCTCATCTCTGTCTCTTCTTCTCAAAAGCTGAACTCTCTCATCTCTGTCTCTTCTTCTCAAAAGCTGAATTAAAGTTGAAATCAATGGCTAGAAAAATGAATCGAGGTCTTCGATCCTCACAATTGGTATCAGAGCAACAAGAAACTGAAGCGGGCGCTGAGGATTTCTTGAACGATCAGGTGGAAGTTGAGGTTGATGAGCCAACTCCAGAGGATCGAGTCGCTAGATTAGAGGATGCTGTTGTCAGGAGCAGCTCTTTCAATCGACAACAGGATTCTTTCAATCATA